GGGGGGGGGGTACATATGTAAATTCTAAACATGTTAGCTGGCCTCGTCCTAGACGCCCAGCTTTCGTGTATATAGGTTCTGGCATCCAGACGTTTTAACTGACACATAATAATTTAATACTTATATTGCGCAAATTACAATTTTTTTCATTTTTGTGCCGGAAATGGAGAAATTTAAAACTTCAGAATTAAGCGAATTGATATTAGCGATGATCAAACAGTCATTTCGTGTTAATTGAATTGTAGTACATTAATTAAATATGGTTGAAGTCTCATGTTTATTACTTTTCCTTTTAATCGTAAAAAAGGCGTTATCCGCTTAAATTAAGATAAGGCATTTATAAATGCATCATATGCAAGATGTTGAAGTGTTAATCAGCAAATTACCTCTCACGATACTTTTGATTTCGCATGTAAACCCACAATATCTGGTTATTTTTTAAAGGCAGGTAGTTTCCGGTTTGCGGATAATTCTGATAGTCGTGGTATTTTCCAAACGCTTTAAAAAACCTACCAAATGCAGGCTCACGTGCCTCGTGCCGAGGCTACTTGGGCTTGGGTTTCTTTTGTGGCAAAGTATAAGGCACCGTGGGATCTACGGGCCCTTTTGCAGGGCGACCACTCGGGTTAGCCTCTATTGGCAACACCCGTGGCCCTATAACACGTCCGTCCCTGTCCACTACGGCGTAACCAGGCTCTACAATGGATTCTATATGGCTGTTGACGATAACAAACCAAAAGGAACAAGAATGAAAAATGGATATATCCAATTGAAGAACAAAGTAAAGACATTTTTATTTGACCCAGGCCGTGCACAGTGTTACTACGGAAATGTATGCTGCGAAAAATCGCACAACTTTTACCTTCGTCAAGAAGAATACCTATAAAAATATACTCCTTAACACGTTTAAGCCTTCAAAAAAGCAACCCGACCGCGCGAAAGTTGCCTTTAAAATACTAGAAATACGTCTGTTGAAGTCATTTCCAATCTGGCGTCTTTAGCTGTCAGCCGTGCGAAGTTTCACCATAACACTGACTTTAACTGAGCACTAACCTCACTCTCGGGGGAGGGGGTGCAGTTCTCTGAGGCGTAAACCGCTGTTCTCCATCGCTCGAGTCTGTGGGTTCATCAGCTGGTCGAGCCTGTCTTGGTCTGCGGCCTGAATGTCATCCCTGTCCGGGCCGGGTGAGATCTCCCGTTGATTTCCTGGTCTTCGGCTTCCTTCCTGAATGCCGCATGGCTTCTTCAAACGAAGGTCGTTCATGATACGGGGGGAGCGTGCAGAAGTCTCTCTGGGGTCCCCTTGCCGGGTATGCTGAGTTCGCATCCAGTTCACCAGTGCTTTGCGCTAAACGACCGTTTCTCACCATGCGGGAACCTGGATTAAGTAACATTTCAGGCTGTTGGACAGAATCTGAGGAGAAAAAAGGCACTCTTTTTTATTTTTTCATTGTTTGGTACCATAAAAAATGCACTTTTTCAAAGCAGCTCAGCTGTACATGTCCATCGCGCGAGGTGCGGCGCGCTGCCATAATTTCTTTCAGTGATTTTTTTTCAATGTTTTTTTTTCGACACACGTAACAAACTTCGCCGAAAAAGAACAGGGATGTGGTTTGGCAGAGCCTGGGTGCCTTGGGGTGACCAAGTTTATGTGTTTAGGCGACTTGTTTGACTTCACTTTTATGAAGGCTTGTTGGAGTTGGGCACTTCAGGTTTGCTAAATAAGAACCTTTGGGCACAGCCTTGAGGAAGAACTGCTCGTGAGTACTGTAAATATGTATCTCGAGTATGAATGAAAGCAAACTAGTGGATATATATTGCGTGGAAGCCGAGAGCATGCAAACTATCAAAAGGCTATATACCTTGTGACAGGTATCCATAGTTTACACCCTGACTGGAGTCTGGTTTTTTTCGTTTTTCCATCAGTTGAGCTCAGACTGCATTGACGCTGCTGCGATGAACGGATCATCTTCAACAGACTGCATACCGTAGCTGCGCCTATTTTCCAAAGCACGGGTCACATTTGGGCCACCCGCAACATAGCCAAGTAAGGTAGATATGACACAAATCGCTTTAGTACATTGCTACAACATTTCCAACTTGTATCAGCTTTTCTCGGCTTTAGTAAACGAACAAGCGTGTGTGGTTTAGTTTTCACCACCTCTCGGTTCGCTTTCAAAATTTTTAATCGATCAATACTGGGTTGTGACAGATGAGTTATGCTCTCCGTTCAATGACGAAGCAAACTCAGTACCTTTCCCGACACAGAACGCTTAAGGACACGGGTGATTAAGTAATCAAACCTGTATGAACCTAGTTTACGAACGTAGCCCAATAGATAGTGCGCTGGACTGTTGTGCGGGAGGTCGAGGGTTCGAGCCCCGGCCGGATCAATACTCAAGGTCTTAAAATAATTGAGAAGAATTTGCTACCTTTCTATAACATCAATAAATGGTTAGATATTCTAGTCTTCTCGGAGAGGGACGAATAAATGGAGGCCCCGTCTCCTGCAGGGTTGGGGGTAGGAGACGTTAATTTCTCACACACGAGATTACTGTGTGATGGATGTTCTCCCCTGGGGTGGGAAGGTGGACTGGCACGAATGGTTTGTATGTTCCCTTCTAGTCCTTCCTCATTGCAAATTAATGCAGTGAAAATGGAGTAAATTAAATTAAATTATTCTTTGAAGCTTAGTCCATTGCAGGCAGAGTATCCGTTTGACTGAGAGAAGGAAACTGACTGCGATTCGATATCTCGTGAGGGGCCTATAGCAACCTTCACGAGTACTGCACAACCTCCTCGCCCATCAAGCGCGTGTAATGGGAAGCAAATACGAGCACTTTCGATGCGTGCAGTACCACGTGTACGGTGGCAAAAGTACACACATGCAATAGTTTATTTTTGCACACGTATGCAATTGTTGCGGGTACTTGTGTTTCACTTCATTTTACTAGGATTCTCAGGGCCGGTTATTTAAAAAAGTTTAGCCACTGTTAAGGCGGCTGAACACAGTTTTAGATACCCGTGTTTCTTTCACCATTTTCTCTAACAATCTACTTCTCTAACATATTGCAAAGATCGTAGAAAAAACATTACTTCCTCCAGTCTCTAAATCACCGTGTTTGGAGTAGTACGAAGACAGTAAGAGCAAACAGGAAACCTTCCTAGTTTATCCTGATGCATTTTTATTAAGAAAGAAGCTGCAGTGTTATTTGCCGAGCACGTCATAAATTATTAGTTAAATAAAGTATACAACGGTTTGTGTATGTGCCATCACGAAAAGCCAAGTTCTTCGTGTCAGGTCACACAAATCTGTCATCGCTCTTCGGTGGCGTGGATGTAACTTGCGTCGAAATTGTTCAAATCAATCGAGATCTGTGAAAGAATGAAAAAAAAAAAGAAAAGGAAAAAAAAAGCAAACCTCAGTAAAGAAATTTACTCTAGCATACTGTTCATTTCTTTTCTTTTTACATAGGTTAGCCCAAGAATAAAGAACACGTTTTACCAAAATTATAAATTCCAATTTTACTTAATATTACTTTTCATATATTTCTTAGTTTACTTGTCGACAGAAAAATATAGCTGCCACTCACACAGCCTTGGCATTTAGTCATTCATCGTAGTGCGAAGAGCACTACAAGAGAGTATGAAGTGGGTTTTAAGCCAACAGATATCAGCAAGAAAATTATAACATTATTTCTCATTGAGAAAGATGTTTCTTCGTCTTGTCGCGAGTACGGCACTAAATCTGGGGTTTGAATTCTCAGGCGAACAAGATACTTTTCTCTTCTCTTGTTCAACCATTGTTAAAAATTGTAAGGCATTTTTGTTCCAAAATGCCATGCTACGGATCTTTCCCATCCACTGTCATCATTGTCAAATCTATTGAATGATAGCATTTATTTTGGAACTCACCCTTTCCGCAGTCATTAGTCTGTGTAGAGTTTTTCCGATTTCCAGGAAAGTTGGTCTGGCCTCTGGCTCTTGCTAACAGCACTGCCACATGATGGCATATCTACAACAGAAAGAACATCTACCGTCCAAGTAAAATCATAAGGTTTAAATCTGAGAGAACATACACGAAAAGTATGTAAGAAAGAGAGAAAGAAAAAAAAGACGAAGCGTTAAAGCTCAACGCCGAGAACCTAATGAGGTTTGGAGTTCTTTGCAGAGGAATGCGATCTCGCTGTACTTCAAGAAAGTTCATCTGAAGGCAAAGGCATTCAGGCCGATGTAAATAATACAAATCCTTTCCTTTGTTGAAGTTTTATAAAATGAATAATGCAAAGTCTTTGTAACAGATTATGAACATGTGCACACCCTCCCTGAGTTAACAGTGTAAGCTTAGAACAATTTTCAGCGAAAAAACTACTCACAATTCATCAGAACAGTACTGTGGTTTGGGCATCCTGTAACCAATATGCAGCTAACCGATGACTTGATCTCTGTTCATACCAGGGTAAGGATTAGCACCTGAGATGAAAATAAAACCACCTTCATGAAAAAGAAATAAAGGATATAGTAGATTGCTTAACACAGGGAAAGTTAAGGCTAAAAACACTCAAACTAGTGGGCTAAAGATCGACATCAGACTGACTCGAGTCTCTTAATATCAAAGCTAGTAAATTAAAATCGTGTTATCAAATTCTTTTGCGCGAGCGTTCTTTTCGTCCACACTGTGGACGCAGATGACGAGCGTGCATGCATCGAAGCAAAGCAAAGTAAATTTCTCGTTCTATGAAATTGAAAACCACTGCCTTTAAATTGTTAGAAATTAGTTGGTTCTTGTGTTAGCTGTGCGTCCATCGAGTTAAGAAGCACGCGGGAAGTTTGAAGATAACTCAAGCAGCTGCAGTCGCTCTCGGCCACGTATGGACAACTTCCGAGCTCCTTAACTCGATGAACGCACGCTGACGCGGAATTGGTGAAAAGGGAATGAGACCCTTACCTAGAGTGACAATCTCCCACAGAAGTATACCATATGACCAACTGTAAGAAAACAGAAATGATTAAAAAATAATGGTACCCGACTCGCTGTAAGTAAGCACAAAAAAAATGAGCCATAGTTATGATATGGTTATTAGGAAACAGCGGATTTCTCTAAACAACGTTAAGCTATTCTGTAATCCAGCTTAAACAAAAGTTCTAATCTGGATTTCAAATAATAGTAAATTTGCAACTTTCGACCTTTTTGAAACAACATTAAATTTTTTTGAAGATGTCGGTCTTCTACGATCTAACTATCACATAATCAACACACGAGCGAGAATTACATAATCACTTACACGTCACTCTTTGTGGTTGTGATTCCCTGAAATATTGACTCTAACGCCATCCAGCGAAGAGGTAATTCTCCCTAATAATGAAAAAAATCAATTACTTCGCCATGTCAGATGAATACGAAAACCAAGGCATTCAAATATTATTGATGTCAACAGCTCTACAACACGGTCACTTACAAAAGTAACAAAACACATTCAGCACAAATTCTATTTTTTGTTTTTCGGTTACTGGGGTTGCTAGGCTACAAACCATTATAGCCAATAACCTCGTCAGACGTTCCGAACTCAAATCATTAGGGACTTTAAGCAGTCAGGACGGCAACGCCACGGAAGGCGTAGATTAAAAAATGAGTTTCTACTTTTAGTTAGAATTTCCAAAATGGCTGCATGAGTTTACCGTATCATAGGGCGCCAGACCTCAAACTCAACATAACGCAAAATAGTAGCGTTGAGTTCTAAATGTAAATTAAAATAATTTGCCGCCGCGGTTTGGCTTCGCAGACGACGCAAATTTTGGTGATTTCACGTTGTTGTTTTGCAAAGGACGGCTAAGAAATGTACAAAGTTTCAAAACGCACGTGCTTGGCTATTGTTCTGCCAATTAGATCTATTGTTAACATTGTTTGTGCGGGTTGAAGATTTCAGACATTGTGACAGCTCGATCCGTAGCTTTTCCACTCGTTTTGTCTTTGTAGATAACTTTAAGTCTAGTGTAGATGTCTCCAAAAGAGAAGTTCAAGTCTTCACACCAGGGAAGGAGGTTCATCGTACCCTCGCGGGTTTTGTAGAGTTGGCGAATGTTCTCAATCATTTCGACGGGATCAAAACCATCTAAAATAAAAAAGTAGGTCTCGTAAGGTGTTAAGTCGAACTGTCAAAGCCCCCTTGGTTTTTCGAAATGTTGCAAACTGACTTTTTTTCCGAGCGAAAGTCGATACAGCGCTAAAAGGCCAGTTTTTAACAGCGCCGATCATCAAAAATGGCGCAAATCAGGTATTACTCGTCTTTCACAAAACTCTTGCTTGAGGAATTTTTTGCTTCGCATATTTTGATCGATCCTTTGTGAGAATAAATCACATAATTTTTTCTTTTTTAACGGTTTTTTTTTTTACACTGAAAATTATTTTTCAGTTTGACAACTACTTTGCTTTTGCTGCTATGACTGTAAATATGCAACTTTTAATCTCGGCTCAGCGCAAAATTCCAGCTTCATCCCAATGATACATTTATTCAAACTAAAATAGGTTAGAGGAGTAAGGAAATATAAATATATGTTGCGGTTTCGGCGAACTTCTAGTACAGCCGGTCAACGTGATATGCACGTTTTCGAAAATCCCACCCAACAGTGGACAAAAAGCGGACTCAATTATTTACGAAATTTACACCCTCGACCCATGGTTGACGCCTGAATTGAACACTTTGAAGCTGTTTCATACTTGACGATACCATAAAACAGTATTTAACCTCCACACCCATCAACAAAAATGTTGCCGCCGAAAGCTGATTCATCGCTCTAAGCGAACTATTGTTTTGTTCACCACGCAGTAATGAGAAAGAAGAAAAGAAGTCCCTGAAAGGCAAGATAGATATGAAAAATGGTCATGTTAAACCAAAATATTTCTTATTATCCATTTAGAGTGTCCTTATTAATATTACTTGAGGTGTAGTCATTACAAATCGGATAATGTATCCTGTAATTTAATGAACTAATTTATTCAAAGGACCTATCTGCTGTGTTTACAACCCAAAGGTTCC